TTGTGGTTTTTTTATTTCCTGCACTCTCCGATCCCCCTCTTCACAAACATTTTCCTTGTGGTTTTCTATTTCCTTACTGTTTTCATCCTGGCTTTGCTTTTCTTAGCTGTCTTCATTGCTATTTGTTGATTTTCCGCTTGGGATGGCTTAAAAAAGCTTTCCATAACTTTCCTAGACTTCTTTGTTTCTTCTTCATTTTTAGCTTTTCTTTTTCTATATTGGGCGCCACTAAGTTTTTTTCCAAACATGCTTGCTAAGATTGAAAAAGAAATTATTAATCAGAATTGCTCTGTAAAAGACGACCTAATATATATATATGCTTCCTGATGGCTCACCGGTAATATTGAAGGCATGTAACTGTAAAAAAATTGGGTTTCTATACTTGCAGTAGCGAGAGCACAGATAGCCCATTGTGTAGCTTTGCGCTTGTAAACAAACAAACAAACAAACTTTTATATTGATAATATATCACAACGTTATCTTTATTGTTGTCCTAATAAAGAGATCGACTTATATTAAGGGCGCAGGTTTGGCGCAGTGGCAGAGTTCTGTATTTCGGAGTGTTTTATTATAGTGACAATCAATAGCTTAGAGTAGGTGCTGCTGACTGGCTGCCTTCCCTCCACTCAGTAGTTCAAAATTAGGGACAGCGGCAGAAAGCCTTAGTAGCTTTTCCATAAATACAAATACAGACATCTAGAAAACCGTGTAATAATCTCATTCTAAGATTGTTGTTTCAAAGTAAAGTAGCGGAGGTAAAACTGGCGATTAGTACGGCGAACAGCACTTTAAAGTTTATTCGTTTCGTGCTCGCCCATCGTGATAGTGAGATTTGATTTCCAGTGAAAGTGCACATTAGGTTTATCAATTGAAATATTGTGCTAAGAGCGTGCGACATTATCTTATCATGTACGTTTCATTCTATGTTTAAGAAGCTTTTCATTTTCAAAGATCAAAGCACTTATTTAAATCGGTTGAATCTCATCTTAATTAAGGATCCCTTTGAAACAACTGTGTGCTTCGAAGTAAATAGGCCTGACTTCGTATAGCTTATTTGTATATGTTCATCTGATGGTTTATATTAGAGAGTTCTTTGGACTAAAATCAAATTGTTAAATTAGAGTAGTCGTCGTTGAATAAGTATTAAATTAAACAGGGTATTATGGTTATTTGGAAATTTAAGAGATCTATTATCCTCAGACAGTAGAGAACAATAATATCAATTGTCATACATACATACATGCTGATAAACTGAAATGTAAACAATTAACGTAACCATCTGTATGAAGTTTTTGTTCAATTTCTCCATAGTAAAAAATGTGAAGCATGTGATAGCAGAAACACTATCTGAAAAGTTTAATATGTTCTGTAAATAACGGAAAAGGCTTAGTAATGTGTTCTGTAAATAATGAAAAAAGGCTTAGTAATGTGTTCTGTAAATAATGAAAAAAGGCTTAGTAATGTGTTCTGTAAGTAACGAAAAAGGCTTAAAAAATAAACAATTTGTAAACCACAGCTACTTATCAATCATTGTTAGTTACGCTTTTACTGGTACTGTTTAAACAGGATAAAGAACTTGTAAACCACAGCCACTTATCGAACATTGTTAGTTACATTTTTACTGGTACTAGTTAAATAATTTGTAAACCACAGCCACTTATCAAACATTGTTAGTTACGTTTTTACTGGTACTGGATAAACAATATGTAAACCACAGCCACTTATCGTTCATTGTTAGTTACGTTTTTACTGGTACTGGTTAAACAGGATAAACAATAACTGGTACTGGTTAAACAGGATAAACAATATGTAAACCACAGCCACTTATCGTTCATTGTTAGTTACGTTTTTAATGGTACTGGTTAAACAGGATAAACAATTTGTAAACCACAGCCACTTATCGTCTTCATCATTCTGTAAATATGGCGACAAAATTAACCTAATATTTTTCCATCTATTTCTTTGATTGGCTACAACTGTTATCATATTATCTATCAACCACAGAGAATAATAAACTGAATGTCCTGTTTTATTTAGTAAATGATAATTCAAGAAAATAGGTTCATTAAGAAGTGCTTTAACATAATAATATTATATATTTCTTCTTATATTCACCCTCTACCATCATTTTAAAATATAGCTATGAAATAACCCTAACTTTTCTCGTCGTTTCATATGATCCATTAAAATAGCTGTAAGGAAATCAAAACGCTGATATGCTCGTATAAAAATAGCTTCAACTGTAAATCGAGCGGATGAACGGACTGTTTATATAATACACACACATTCGAAACAGCGAATTCTAAAAATGGTTAATTAATCATTCAGAGATAAAGATTTGGTATCACTCCGATCTGGATTGAAGATCGATGGTTTGAAGTATATTTTAGATTAATTTAACTACGTGATTTATGACAGTGGCTCTTATGAATTACTGAGTCACTAGTTTTGTCGTTAAAAAAAAGAGGGGTGAAATTTATGAAGAGATACGAAGGAATCTGGAAATTAAGTGAACATTTGCAAGATTATAGAAACATTATTATCAATAGAAGAGATGAAACTTTGTTTTCTAGATTACATTATTAACCACAATGGTTTATAACAAATGAATATGTTGTTAACACTAAATTAAACTCTGATCTAACGAGTCCACTAGTGACTCAGAGGAACGGCTGCCAGCTTAAAACTCTAAAAGTGGGGCTTCTATACCCGTGGGGGTAGAGCATAGTTAGCCCATTGTGTAGCTTTGGGCTTAACAAACCCAGCCAATCAAGTGAAATACTGAGTGTACATAGAACGTTTGTGATTATTGATGAAAGAGATATTGGGATGCAATAAAATCGATATCTTGAAAGAATAGTTTATGACTTATTGGTAAAATTTGGGGGGATGTTTCTGAGTATGTTCCGGTCTTTAGAGTAGATAAGCCTTTTTACTGTCATATCAGAAGTCAACCAGATATATCCTACAATAATAGGTATTCCCTTTAACCCTACTTTTTATATTAATGGTACAACTGCATTAAATAATTATTTGTTTAATTGCTCGAAATAACATGATCCATCAACCCACTTTTAAAGGGACATTTTATTCACACCCCTCCCCAAAAAAAATTAGATGTGCGAGAATGGTCAAATCCCTTCTGATCATTTCCAAGGGCTGTGATTACTTTGGGACTTCAAACCTCTTTTCAAAGTACTTTTTGAAACCCAACCAACTGGAACCAACGTGAAGCAGTCGAATGATGTAAATATTCTTGTAAAAGGAAAAGAAAAACGATTACGTTTTGGAAAACCGGCAGTAGGTGTCGTTTATAAAATACTAAATTCGTAAAATTTATTTGTTTGAAGTTAAGCACAAAGCTACATAATGGACTATTTGTGCTCTGCCCAATACGGGTATCGAAACCCGGTTTCTAGCGTTGTAAGTCTACAGACATATCTCTGTGCCACTGTGGGACTAAACTCGTAAAGAGAAATATTTAGGATAAGCTTCACTTTCAAAATAAAGCTTAAAAAAACTTTTATATCGCGACTTTCAAAATATCGTCCTCCATATTGTCCCAGTAATTATAGACTCATTAGTCTTACATCAGTTGTGGGAAAAGTTTTGGAAAGTCTGTTAATAAAATTTAGAATTTTACTGGATAGTCAACACGGTTTCACTAAGAGAAAATCTTGCCTTACAAATCTTTTGACATTCTTTGAAAAGGTTGAT